GTGACTGAGCGACTAGTACATACAGTTAGTCTTTGCCATGACCATGAACTTACAGAGTTGGTGGAGTTGACTACGCATGCTCAGATTTATTCTCAATCAATTTGTGACGGTGCGAGCTCAAAAATTGGTGCTTGCAGATGTGCTTAGCAAATTTTCAATCACACATTTTTGGCATGCTCTTTGTCTTCTTAAGCTTGTTTTGACAAATGCATATCAAACTCATCAACACTTTGTTGCACTCGTAATATCCACGATAACGTTAGAAATTTTTCTCTACAACTTTGTATCTGCATGTTGCATGTCATATTCAAGCTTTCCTTTGATTAGACGGAAAATGGTTTGTATTCACTCGACAACCTTCTGTCTTTATAATTAGTCGTTCAGTATTTCTCAAATAAGATTTACAAATACCCAAGAGCATCTTTACTCTTTTATATTGCCACTATTCTACATTGATCTCGTATTTTTGATACGTGCCTACCAGATTGGGGGCGCGGAGGTATATCATAGGGTATGAGGTGTGATTTTTTGAAGATCGTATTTTTGATACGTGTGTCTACCATTGGAAAGGGGGGCGCGGAGGTATATCATAGGGTATGAGGTGTGATTTTTGAAGATCGTATTTTGATACGTGTGTCTACCATTGGAAAGGGGGGCGCGGAGGTATATCATAGGGTATGAGGTGTGATTTTTTGAAGATTCATTGATATTTTTTTGTTCAAAACATCTTTTCATTTCTCCTTGCTTCATTTTCACTTTAACCCTTAAACTATACTTAAGTATTAAAAATTATTTCAAATTAAATCATTACAGGAAGACTACATTATTTCACAAGAAAATTCAGCACAAATATTCAACGCACTGTCTGATATTCCGGGGGAGATCACCGATACAAATGAACTATTTCAGGTGAGTTGCAATTATATACTGGATGTTATATTAAATTATAATGAACTTTAATTCTTTTACCTCATGTAGATGCGAAGGCTTCTGGTTCCCTGACCGATGTTATACTGGAGGCACATCGTAAGCATTTGGCGTTCTTAATGGCAGACTTGGGCACATTAACTGGACTTGATGGTTCTCGTTCGGGGATAAAAGTAGGACACCGAGGAATAATTTGGAAAACACTTTGGGACACGTAGGGATGGTTTGGGGCTTTGGGACACCTAGGGATAATTTGGCAAACAGTCATATAGCGTAGCGAAACCGCAAAGCTAACTTTCGAACTTATCGTGGAATTTGAAAATTGAAGAGGAAGTGAAATTTGAAGAGTTTACTTTCAGTCGATCTGCACGTTGTAACTTGTAATCAGTGTGACCATGTATGAAGATTTTTTTAATCACATTCAGTTTGATAAGCATAAACACTGTTATGAAGTTTGCTGCTGTATAAAGCAGGTGGGAGAGTCTAAGATAAGTAGACGAAATCTAGTAAAAATTTGCATATATGACCCCAATGCTTTTTAATCTAATAAAGTTATTGTATATTGTGCAGCTAGCTCGTTATGTGTTTAAAAGTAGCAATTTCAATAATTATTGACAATTATCAAGCATTGTAAACAATAAATTTAATTGTTGACAACGTTCGGATCTTTTGGCTAAATCCTTTCATTTCTCTTGAAATGTATATATTTTAGAAAATACATCGCAGACACATTGTTCGAATGGAAAGTTCATCCTGGTTGGGGTATCTTATGGGTAAGTGGGACATCCAGGGATAAATGTAATAAGAGTTGGGAGAGTGTTGAGCTAAACAGTTTTTTGAGTATTTACGTCGATGGTGGTGGTATTATTTCAATTCGACAAATACAGTAAAACACGGGTATGACTAAAAGTTTTCAATAATGTGTCATATTACTTTACTTTCTTGTTATAAAACTGTTTTATTGTCAATGTTTTTCAGGGGCAAACAAGAATAGCTTGGCCAAAGCAAAAACATTCGACAAACAGGTAAGAATTTCATGTGTTGGAGACTAACCTCTTGAATCTGTTCAGACAAATAGGTTTTTCTTTGTAATAATTTTTCATAAAATGTTAAACTCTGTTCACTTTCTTGTATGAAAAGTTTTACTTCAAACTATGTTTTGCTTAAAATACTCAAATTTAGTGTAAAGTCATGTGCTTCATTAGTTTCCAGTCCTATTAATCGTTGTGTCTAACAGTTCTAAAGCTATCACGTTAGGTATGCTTTTTATTAAAGAAATTTTGGCAGATCTTAGAGAAGCAATTTCACAGATTACGCGTCATTTTGATGCATTTGATGCTAGAAAGGTACATCATATATCCATGCTTATCCATTACGTATATAAATCAAAGAACGTCCTATATCCATGCTTATCCTTTTACGTATATAAATCAAAGAACGTCCTATATCCATGCTTTTATCCATTAATTATATAGATCTTAGAGAAGTCCTATATCCATGATTATCCATTACGCATTTGATGCAAAGTACATCATATATCCATGCTTATCCATTACGTATATAAATCAAAGAACGTCCTATATCCATTCTTATCCATTACGTATATTGTGCAAGTAACACGCTATGTCTATGCTTATCCATTATGAAATGCTGAAAGATAAGTTTTTATTCTTGTTTATCTATCCCAATCCTGTCATTTAGCTGTTACAGATGGTCACAGAAATTACATATGTGTGGATTTATTTTATGTCTTTGTTTAATAAAATCATTGTTTCATAGGGTTTGCAGGTTGATTATTCCGTCGAAAGTCATGCTCATGATTATGAAAATTTTGTAAACGTTGCAAAGTAAGAGTTAAAATTATTTGTACTTAAAATAAAGTATTTCTTTCAAACGTCTTTCATATGTACAAAAGCCATAGGATTCACTGAAGTATTGGTAATTGGACGGTTTAAGCGTGAATTTTATCAATTGGATGGGGATCTTATTAAATTTATCAGTCAGATTTTATAATCTATTAAATTTATCCCATGGATTTTGTGATTGTATTAAATCTTATTATATGGATTTCGTGATCGTATTAAATCTTATATGGATTGATGATAATAAATCAATATGGATTATCGTGATCGTATTAGATCTTAATATGGATTTCATGATCGTATTAAATCTTACTATATGGATTTCGTGATCGTATTAAATCTTACTATATGGATTTCGTGATCGTATTAAATCTTACTATATGGATTTCATGATCGTATTAAATCTTATATGATTTCAGATCGTATTAAATCTTATCATATGGATTTCGTGATCGTATTAAATCTTCATCAATAGAAATCGTCGACGTCGAGCAAAGGCGTTGTTGGACTTTGAGCCATGATGACGACGAGAGGATTCAGAAAGAATGACATCATCACTGTACGTCATCATGTGTCTAGTGCTTCCTTTATTTAAGGATAAGTTGATAATCAATACTAATTTCATCAATTTTCCTGCTTTAGATCATTTCTCAAAAAGATGAACATTGTTGGGTTGGTGAGTTAAATGGTTTACGTGGTGAGTTTATTTTTGAATGCTTTTCTTGTTTTTATTTTAATGACGTGGTTAGTGGTGGTGCAGTTTATTTTGACGTGGTGAGTTTATTTTTGAATGTTTCTGAGAAAAAGTCGCTTTTGCATTCAGCGTACGTAGCAGAAATTTTCCTTCCCTCCTTCCTCAGAAATGTCTTTAGGCTGGTGTCTTCTGCAGGAATCGTCTTTAAACTGGTTCCCCTCCCTCGGAAATTGTCTTTAAACTTGTGCCCCTCCCTCAGAAATTGTCTTTAAACTTGTGCCCCCCCTCAGAAATTGTTCTAAACTTGTGCCCTCCCTCAAAAATTATCTTTAAACTGGTGCCCCTCCCTCAGAAATTGTCTTTAAACTTGTGCCTCTCCCTCAGAAATTGTCTTTAAACTTGTGCCCCTCCCTCAAAAATTATCTTTAAACTGGTGCCCCTCCCTCAGAAATTGTCTTTAAACTTGTGCCTCTCCCTCAGAAATTGTCTTTAAACTTGTGCCCCTCCCTCAGAAATTGTCTTAGACTTGTGCCTCCCTCAGAAATGTCTTTAAACTTGTGTCTTCTCAGAAATTGTCTCCTAAACTTGTTACCCTCCCTCAGACATTATCTTTAAACTGGTGCCCCTCCAGCAGAAATTGTCTTCAAACTGGTGCTCTCCCTCAGAAATGTTTTAAATTAAGCTTGTGCCCCACCCTTCTTGTGCAAAATTTTGTGACGCTAGCTAATCGTAGTTTGGTTTATATAAAGAAAGCGCCTTTACTGTCGAATCATCAATTCATACGCTGTTGTTTACGTTGCATCGTTTGTCTCATAGGTTGGTTTCCTGCAAAGTTTGTTGAAATTCTCGACGAGCGTAGCAAAGAAGTATGAGCCTTTAAAACCTTTGTGATTTTACTACGTACTTTGACTATTTTAATTTTCTTTTGTTTCTTGATTGAAATTTTATGACCGTAATGTTGATGTTGTATCGTACAAATAACAACGACGACCTACAAACTATTACTTTGCGAGTTGTCGTTGAAAATTTGTTGCATGTATTGTACATCAAACACCCTGAGTATATATAGTTCTGTTTAATGTCTTTAAAATTTAGTCTTTGTCTACTCCAGTCTATTGTCTTCATCAGACTGATCTGATGTTTTAGCTTGAGTCCTAATTTTCACCTGTCTAGTATCTTCATCAGGAGATCTGATATTAAAACTTTAGTCTTTGTATACTCCAGTCTATTGTTTTCATCAGAGTAATCTAATGTCTTGAGTCCTAATTTACCCCTGTCTAGTTGTATAACATTATCCTTATGTTGAGTAACAAGTGTATCTCGCGACGTAATAGTTGTATAACATGAAGTATACAGAGATTGTCTATAAAGCGCGCCATTTAAAATTTCAAGACTTGACAACACAAAGTTTTCTTTATATTTAGTATTCTAGCGCCGGTGATGATTCTGTTTCCGAAACCGTGACTGACCTGGTTCGTGGTAGTCTTTGTCCGGCTTTGAAAAAATATTTTGAACACGGAATGAAACGACAATCGTTTCTTGGCGGTTCCTACCATCCTTGGTTATTCATTGAAGAGGTACACGATTGTTTTATATCATTTTATCTTGTGGTATACTCAACTCTAGTGTCTTCATCAAGCGCCTATCTATAATACACGCCTCTCCGTAATATTTCCCTTTCAAAACGTGTGATCTTACTAAACTCATTTCTGGGACATAATGTTAAGATATGAACATCAAACGAAAAGACATAGCATTGCATGCATAATTAAGTAGATATGACGCATGTCAGATTAAGTGATATTCTGAACTTGTTATTGCAAATATCGTTGTTCGCTAATACTTAACTTTGTTATTAGTTCCACAATAAGGGGCTGATTACATGAGCCCGGGTAGCCGGGATTCAGCCAAGCGTTAAATGATTTTGGCAAATGGAAACTATTCAATACTTAACATCAGATAAATCTTCTCGAGCAATTTCACATTGTTCTGATTTAATAACTACGCAAAACTTTTAAATTACAATAACCAATTTGGACTAATTTGAGAATTACAACAGGAATGAATTGCGGCATTTAACAAACAGTTGTAATTTAGAAACTTGAAGTTTTCCCTCCTATCAATACCTCGAAATCATTTCACGCCTCACTGAAACTCGGTTAGCCGGGATCATGTAAACAGCCCTTAAAATCATAAATATTTCAGGTACAATCCGAATTTATTGCCGAATCACGAATAGTTTAACACATAAAACAATTCTATAAAACTCGCAAATTTTCAAATTACTCTTCAGGCAAGTGCTCATCAAGTGGAAAAAGATTTCCAGTCTGTTTACTCGCGCTTAGTTTTATGTAAGACATTCCGACTTGATGAAGATGGTAAAGTTCTTTCACCTGAGGAAATTTTGTACAGAGTAAGTTGAATATTGACTTCCCATCATGAGAGTTATACATCGAAGCCTATTTTAAAAGTCTTTGTTGAAAACGCTTTTTCGCCTTTTTACGTAGGGAACGTCCAGTCCTTTTCCTTTTACCCAAGGAAATGTTTTTTCCGGTTTTATGAAATTATTTTCACTTTGTTTGCTGGCGACAAAAATTGATGTGACTGTAACATATTGAAGTGAAAGTTATCCCCTGCTCCATTCCCTTTATCATAGCAAAGTTGTTAAGGATTTGCTCTGAACTCTATACGTACTGTATTACTGTAGAACTCAGAAATGAATTTTATTTTGCTTTTCAGGCTGTTCAATCAATTAATATGACTCACGATAGCGCTAAAACTCAAATGGATGTGAAGGTAAGACTTTAAAGTTCTTTTAATTTTTTTGTTTGATGTGGATTTCACAATCTCTGTTCAGCTTGACGGGAAAAGCCACCATCCAAAAAAAAATTTGTGTCGAAATGTCCGTTTTCCGTAATCTACCAAAGATAAATTGTTTCAAAGACAGAAATGTCTGTACTTGAATGATCCGAATCTCATGTAATTTTATATTTTGATACTGAACTAAATACTTGTGACCAGTATGTAGTCGTATGTCAGTCGTATGTACTCGTATGTCAGTCGCATGTACTTGCATTTTCGTACCGTATGTCACTCGTATGTCACTCATGTACTCGTATGTATTCGTGTGGTGTTTTAGTCACGATCGATCCAAATCGGTAATTTTATATTTTTTCTACTGAACTGAAACCATTTAGAGCATTAAGGTAGTTTCAGACTAGAGTACAGAATTTTTATGAAAATTTTGTCTTGCTGGGCAAATTTTTCTGTAATGTAAAAGCAACAGATTTCTCAAGAAATGAATAATGTGAATGAACTGAAATGTACATAGCACGAACAAAATATGTGAACCGACTGCTGTCATCGCATAATATCATTTTTTGCTATTCAACTTTTTTCTTTGCAGCTGAGATCGTTGATTTGTTATGGATTAAAGTAAGTTTGCAATTGTTGAATATTGTTGAACATGGAATACAGTGTCAAACGATGATTGCGTAAGGGTGGCATCTTTACGTAGTTTGAATAAAATTTTGCTGCTTTTAAGTTAAAGATGTCGCTTTTTCGTGTTTTGTTCCATTCTTTCGCTCTTATACCATGAATGAATTCCATCATTGATGACGTGTTCCATCAAACACAAATTACTGTAGGGTTTTGAACCGAGGCTTGTATGGAGGTTCACCTTTGTGCATCTTTCCCCTGTTATACATATTGCCTTTGTTTATTTTAGTGAACAATGTCTTCATTTATGAATCCTTGTGTTCATCAGAGTCGATTGTTTGCAGATGGTATGTGGAAAGGGAACAGGGGGGCTAACAAAAGTGAAAAGGGGGCTAACACGAAAGGGAAAAGGGGCTAACACGAAAGTGAAAAGGGGGCTATTACGCAGAATTGTAACACCCTCTAGTCATATATTGTATATTTCCTTTCAAATTTCCAACGTATTTTTACTCCTGACTACTTTTGATTTAATTTAGAAACTGTTACATAAACTCTTTATTGTGGCCTCCCTTTTTCCAAGAAGTTATTCAAATTATTTCTTCATAATAGCTCTGTTTCTGACATTCATAATAGCTCTGTTTCTGAGACATTCATAATAGCTCTGTTTCTGAGACATTCATAATAGCTCTGTTTCTGAGACATTCACTTCCTTCAATAATCGTCAGTTCTGTTCAAGCAAGTCTTTCTATATATCATTTTTTTAAAAAATTATTACTGTTAATTTTGGTGATATTTATTCCTCGAAGTATGCCCAAATAATGTATAATAAATGCTTAAAATTTAGTTTCCAAGAACATTTTATGTTTATGTACTTTAAAATGCAAAAGTAATATTTTGTCATGAAAGTTTTGAATGTTTCCAATTGCGCATGACTGAACTCTTTCTTGTAAAGTAAATGGTTTGAACCCGGGAGTATCGTTACATGTTTGTAGATGTAGATCGTCCAGGTTGGTATAGTCCTGAGAAGGACTGTTTTGTTGTTGTTGACTGACGTTTCACTAACTTAGCGGTAGTCATCCTCTCATATTTGACTCTGACGATCACTACTTACAAACATGTAAACTCTTTCTTGTGTTGAAGAATCTCAAATCAATAAATTACTTTGGATGTTTTCATTGCAGGTATTATCCATGGTCCTTCATACGAAGTCCTGGATGGGTGCAAATAAAATGTGAATTAAGGTAATTCTTAACTAAATCTAATAATTTTTATTATCGCACTCATTCAAATGATAATATATCGAAAATATTCAAGTTAATTTACCAAATGATAAATATTACATCGTTTTATTATTTACCAAAATTATTTCACGTCTTACTAAAATCCCTGCTACTGCTTGTAGTCGTCAAACAATACCATAGCTACAAAACTTTCTGTTTTCTTTTCTCCCAGAGTATTGGCATTGTTCGCGTTCAGTCTGAACATTGACTGGGAAATTTTGGATCAGAAAGGCGGTAGCTACTTTTACTCTCTGATTTGTTTTCAGGCAACGATATTTTAAATCTAACGTTTTTTTCATTTTATGATCTCATGAATATTTTGGAAAACAGGATGCCAGCGTAAGTGTAAGCTTTAATTTAAAATAGATTGTACTGTAGTCTTGGCTTTTGTTGGTAGTGATGAATGAACAACAGAGAACGAGAACAGTTTTACACTACAAAAATTAAAAATTAAACTAAAAGTAACAGTAAAGAATACAGATAAAAATGTTTTAAAACAAAATTAAATTTCTTTTTAGGTGAGTAAACCTTTGAAGGACAGCGTTCAAGATATGCTTGTAAAACATCATCTATTCAGTTGGGATTTATAGCTCAGCGTATAATGTCCCGTATATTATGCATTCACCATACATGTAATTTATTGATGAGTGTAATTAATTAATTCGCCGTGCTGCCTTCGAACAATAGTAAAGAAAAGATAGCATAATAGATTGAAATTATAATATAATGTCAACATTTATATTTAAAGCTTTTTTATATTTTACCCAGGGCGTTAATTGGAGGTATATATTCATGTATTCAGCTCTGCCTAGCTGACTTCTTTTGAAATTAAAATCGCCAACAAAAGAAATCAGTAGGACAGAGTTGAATATATGAGTATATACCCCCCCCCGTCCACCACCCAATTAAAGTTGTAGTTTTTTCCTGAATTTAGCCTGTGGCTTACAGCCAACCAGAGGTTTAGTCTCACAACCATGCAATTCGACCATTTACGCAAGTCTTTTACAAGATCTTGTCAAATGAGTTTACACACTCAGGTTCTGAACTGTCGACTATTTACATTTCATTGAAAAACTGGAGTCAACTGAAAAACGTTATAATGTCATCAAAATTCACGTATAGTATCTTTGTTTGTTGTATTTTAACTTGTCATTGACACGTCTGTCTATCAGACGTTAGTTTGTCTTGAATATAACTGGTTTATTGCTTCAAATGAGTCTTTAAGATGGTATTGTTCTTTACTTGGTAACGTTTCCAATGATGTGTCCATTGTTCCAAGTTTTGTGCATCCACTAATTGAACCATTTTTGCTGTAGTACTCATCTGCAAAGTATATATTTATTAAAACAGTATTAAATATTATTGTTCAGTCTTTCTTACAATGGTCGAACATCTTCAGTCTTGTTATCTTAGTTGTGAAACAGAGACTTTGTCGTGGTGACAAACTTAAAGATGGATTTCAAAATAGCAAATACCATGGTGAATGGTGATAATAACAATGTTGTTCTTAGAACTGTTTTAACAAAACACTAACCCAACAATTCAAAGGAACCGTTAAGTGTCATCTCTAAAAGTAGGGATGACATTGACCTTTTGTAACGTTATAAATATAGCATGATTTGGAGTTTCTCATTTAGCAGACGTTGACACCTGTCGAGTAGTCTGCCGAAATGCATAGTGTCTCTTTCTAGCTGTAAATAACGGTTCCTTTGAATTGTTGGGTTAGTGTTCTGGTTAAAACAGTTCTTTTAAGAAGTATTACATTTTTATTATCACCATTCACCATGGTATTTGCTATTTTGAAATCCATCTTAGTTATGTGTTTTAGTTAGTGTAAAAACTTTTGTTGTTCTCTGTTGTTCATTCATCACTACCTACACTGACACACGTTATCTTATTTCTTATATATTTTAGTTAGTGTAAAGACTGTTTCGTTCTCTGTTGTTCATTCATTTCTACCTACACTGACATACGTTATCTTATTTCTATATATTTTAGTTGGTGTAAAGACTGTTCTCGTTCTCTGTTGTACATTCATCACTACCTACACTGAAACACGTTACACGTTATCTTATTTCTTATATATTTTAGTTGGTGTAAAGAGTTCTTCATTGTACATTCATCACTACCTTGACGTTATCTTACGTTAGTTAGTGTAAAGATTGTTATTGTTCTCTGTTGCTTATTCGACCTAAGTTGTTCAACCCGTTCTCTTATTATACAATCATCATTTCTAATGCGCTTACCGTTGCCTTCTTTCATAAGCGTTGAGTGTTTTCGTTTACACAACTCCCAAAGACAACCAACAACACAGAATAATGCCAGACTTGCCAACATAGAGTACACACATATACTAAAGATTCCGCCACTTCCAAAATAATCTTCTGCTGGATCAAGTTTGTTCTGTAAAGAAAATTGGGAAAAAATTTTATTTTTGTACAATAAGGTAAGTCTAAGAACAACGTAAAAATATTTCGATTCAAACGCCTGATGCATGTAAAGTTTCAACTGTGATGTTAACAAGTCGATTGTAATTCATCAAAGATCCACAAAGGCTGAAACAAGCGATTTAAAGTGCACAACCAACAGCAGCACAACTTAATTCGATGTCAAAGAGTTTCACGAAAGAAAATTTTCACCATATCGATAAATTTAAAATATTCACAGTTCAATCGCAGTTCAACCTATTCGAACGTTGTGACCAATGATATTTTTTTGCATCGGTAAATTATTGGGATTCGGTTAAGCGTTAGCCGAAAGATTACGTTTTGGTGGAGTTTACTGTGTAGAGTAACTTTGTTTAGATTACAATTGATCTCAATTTTATATGGCTACCTTTTGCTTTCCACTAAACTGCGACATCTTTCTGAATATAGCTAGCTCGTTGATTTCAATGTATCTTCGAAAGCATTTAGCTAAACTTTCTGTTCTTCTGCTAAGCACAAGTCCGTAGAATGTCTCTTTTGGTAGAATTCCAGTGACTTTAATTTTGTAGTTCCTTTGTAAGTCACCCGCCGCTTCTTTCAAACTGTTTATGTCAACCAAAGCCGCGTCCACTTTATAGTTGATCAACAGTTCGTATAACTCTTCCTGTTTTTTCATAGCTAAAGTTAATTTTGAAATTAGTTTTTCAATAACAAGCTAGCAACCCTGACTTGTTTTGAAATTGTGATTACCCCTAGCAAAGTGAGTTGTATATGTGCTCATCAAAACAAAGCAAAAAGGCTTTGGAAAGTTGGATAAACCTTGGGAAAAGTTTACGATGTGAGCTTGCTATTTGTTTCAAAATTAGAAAATTGTTACTCTTAGACGTAATAGAATTTATGGTCAAATAGAATCTTTGTACTGGGTAGTGGTTTGGTTGATTTTGATGTTGAAGTTAGCAAGTTTTCCACCACCATTCTAGATAATTGTTCTGATTGGTAGAAAATCGTTGTCAACATTGACCAATCACAGTCAATTATGCGATAAATTTTTCGAGCCAAATTTTCAACATGGCCGTCGATAATACTTTCACCACTTGTAGAAATAATCAAACTTTTCGGCATAATATTTGTTTGTCGAAGGATTTTAACGAGGCTACTCGAAAAAAAATTAAAACCAAATTCGGTACGTGGCATGTAATTTTATGTCAGTAAGACCCTGGAACGTCGAGAAAAGTATTATTATGAACAGAAGAGGAAAGTTTAGGCTCAGGCTGTAGGATGTCGACTGTGGACTGTCGTTAAAGAGTTGAATTTATGGTAAAGTTTGATTATTCATGTCATTCAACATGTACTATATACAGTCAACGCAATTTGCGTTATGTTTAATATCATTTGTGTTCTCAATGGTAAATCTCAATGTTTGTTTTACCTTTACATTTGTGTTCTCAATGGAAATCTCAATGTTTAAGTTTTACCTTTACATGATTTGTGTTCTCAATGTAAATTCAATGGTTTTACCTTACATGATTTGTGTTCTCAATGTAAATTCAATGTTTAAGTTTTACCTTTACATGATTTGTGTTCTCAATGGGTAAATCCCAATGTTTAAGTTTTACCTTTACATGATTTGTGTTCTCAATGGTAAATCTCAATGTTTAATTACCTTACATGATTTGTGTTCTCAATGGGTAAATCTCAATGTTTAAGTTATACCTTTACATGTTGCATGATGTTCAATGCCTAACCAGTGAGCCACGTTCACAACTGCGACTTTTTAGTAATAAAGAAAGAGTAAAATTTACATAGAGTTGTTGAGTATAGTACAGAGTAGAAGCTTCAATTGAAATTTAATGTCTATGTAGGCTATATTATATTGGTAGTTGTTGTGACGTAACTTAATTGAAAATTTTGTTTATTTTTTATAAATTATCTTCTAAAGAGAGTTTTATGACTTTAGGCTTACCATTTCATTCTGAATATCAAATGCCTTCCATAAATAAGTTCATTAATGTTGTAGTTAAAATTCTATAAACATGGTGACAAATAGCATTCCTAAAACCAACCAGCAAGAACCAAGTAACTTGCCAACTATCGTCTTTGGATACTTGTCTCCATAACTGTAAAAGATAATGGCTAATTTATGCAAAGATAAGATTATTTAGTGATTAAGAATCAAGAAAAGCAGACATCTAATTTTCTGCTGAACATTTTGTTCTCTCAGATGAGTGAGAAAAAACAAAGACAGACTTGATCTTAATAGTTAGAGCTTGCTTTTAGATAAACTTTGAAGGAATTTTGTAAAGCATGTGCTTACCCTACAGATGTCATACTAACAAAGCCCACCAGAAACCATCAAATGCACCTTGTGGGAATAATTCTGCAAACTTTGGGTTGGATTTTCTTTCCTGAAAGTATATATGACATAAATCTTGAAACTATTGTGTTGTTTCTGGGGTTTTCAGGTAGAAAGAGCCCTTGCACATTTTAGTCTATTGTATTTGGATTTTTTTCGAAAGCATCAACAAAGACTCAGAACAACAATTCTAACACAGTTGCATGTGAAAAACATGTGATTTAATATGCATGTGAAAACATGTGACTTAATATGCATGTGAAAACATGTGACTTAATATGCATGTGAAAACATGTGACTTAATATGCATGTGAAAAACATGTGACTTAATATGCATGTGAAAACATGTGACTTAGTATGCATGTGAAAACATGTGACTTAATATGCATGTGAAAACATGTGACTTAGTATGCATGTGAAAAACATGTGACTTAATATGCATGAAAACATGTGACTTAATATGCATGAAAACATGAGACTTAATAAGCATGTGAAAATGTGACTTAACATCATGGTATGTGAAAACATGTGACTTAGTTGCATGTGAAAGATCCTTGTCTAGTCTGTAATTTGTTGAAAACATGACCATTTATTTTGGAAAACATGTAATTTTAATATGCACAGTAAAAACATGTGACTTAATATGCATGTGAAAAACATGTGACTTAATATGCATGTGAAAAACATGTGACTTGAACATGAAACTTTGTATACCAGAGTAAACATTTAGTCATGTTGTATAGTTTAAGCCATAAGACATCCTTTGTCTGAGTCTGTAATCTGTTGATTTAGAGTTCTTTGACCATTTCATAATTCTTTTTAAACCATGGGCTCACCAGGGGATGTTTGTAGGATGGTGTTGAACACTGATAGAACTTCTCACCTTTGTATTCTTATCTAAGTGGGTTTGCCCCAACAAATCATCTGGCCTCTATCTATTTTAGTCTAATTTCTATTGTATATGCTCATCTTAAACTAATCTTCATATTTTTTACTAGATTCCATACATCATCTCTTTACTAGACCCTCTTACTGCAATTCTAAACTGGCATTCTTTTACCTGTATACCCATAATCCTCTTCTGTACATACACTAAACCATAAAATCCCTGCCTCCCTTGTTTTGTCTCATGAGAATAAGATAGAATTACTTTAAACGAACTAAGACTCAAAAACGCGGAGCTCTTGAGTTCTGGCTTTGAATTTGTGGACGAGATCACTACTGTTAAGGAAGATGCGGGCTATACCTTCAGGAAATACTCAGTGCTGTAGAGGTGGGGGGGAGGAGCCCCCTTCTACCTTTGAAATGGGTAATTTTTCATAATTTCATGGCTTCAGCTTCGTCAAGAGAGCCCCCCACCACTGGAAATACTTACCACTATCCAAATAAGAATTCCCGCAAGTGAGGCAATGAGTAGAATAAAAATCAAAACTGGCCACGATTGTAGAAGAGAGACCATGAGTTTTCCCCTTGAGACGTTACTATGTTTCAACACGGCCATACCAAGTGATTCAGTCATAGCTACGAATGTTAAATTTTCGAATGATTCTTTGCCAAAACTTTCAACGTAAACAGGCAACACCATGTCAAATGAAAGTGAAGATCTAGAAAATTTTATTACAGAAATGTTCACGTCAGGGGAAAGGTAAGAAGCGTAAAAAGTATTCATTAGAGAACTGTGTCGACAATGGATCTGCAAAATTAGGCGATTTTTTGGTCCGGTATTATGTATTACATAAATCTTATTTTCTCATGATGTGGGATAGTGTGGGATAGTGTGGGATAGTGTGGGATACTAGGAGAAAATGAGAGGTATTATTGTGGCTCATTTTAAATCGAAATTACTATCATAACAATGCTGCTGGTTGAAAAATTTAGACGTAATACGACAATACGACAGAGCCATCCCACCACGTTGATTGGTGTGGCTGTGTAGGTGTGGCTGTGGGTGTGTAGTGTGGCTGTGTAGTGTGGCTGTGTGTATGGATGTGGGGATTGGGTGGGTACATAATACATATGCTCAATTATGCAGTTGTGCCTTATTGGTTTCTTTTGAAAGCGATTCACTTGTGGATTATAGCAATTCACTTTCAAAAGAAATCAGTCTGGCACAACTAAATATATTAACGTTCCAGGAACTGCTCTGGAAATACATAACTAGTGTCATTTAGTTTATCTTGATTTTGAGTTGCAAATGATCTTCTCAGAGCTACTTATTCTATATACTATATACGTTGTGGTTGTTCACGCTTTTCAAGACAATATTGTCGATAATTTTGTCGATTTTGCTCAATCCGTGATTCTTACATACTTGGTCAATTTCATTTCCTTTATAGTCTTGTAGAAATCCGCTGGTCCGCTAGTTTGCTGGTACTTGACTTGAGCTCCTTTGCAGCAATGTCCCACCATGTCATCGAGAAAGCTTGGGAAGATTCCCGTTACGGAATCACGTACGTGTGATATATGGACCATGATCCCAATATTTGACGGTGAGTTGACGGTCCTTATTGCACAGCTTATCCAGGGTTTCTCCTCCCGCGTGCAGGCAAATCATTAGGAGTAATAATGTACATTGAAGGATCACAATTTTCCACATTGTTAATTTTGCGCGCATTTCGAGAATCTGTCAGTTTACCGCTGTTATTTGTTCATCCTACATAAATATATGCTCGTTTAACATTATCAATCAATGTTATACAAAATCATCGCAAAAAACTTCATCGGTTTAATGTTTTTGAAACCGAGTAAAATATTGCTGAATTTTAGCACTTGACGTTATAACGTAGCTAGCAAGACGGCTCCCTCGGTATCATTTACTCAAACACTTAACGGGAGGTTTTAAGAATCTTGAAAAATCCGTCGTGAATTATATTTACGTCGTAATTAAATATTCAGACTTCTAGTCAAAACATGATGGTATATGTAATATATTTAAATAGTTTTTGTTCGAATTAGATAAGGCGAAATGCGTTTGCTTCGCTATGAAATAATCAAGACAAGATTTACACTTGCAACGCAAGCTGTGTTGTATTCAATCTCGCAATGCCGTTGACGTCATCATATCGATTATAATTACATTTCATATATTTTTGGATGTGATTAATTGAAAATTTGCTCGAGATTTCAAAGATAACAAACATCCCTAAAGCGTTTCTGTTGTTTGCACGAAGGAGTTTACAGCGCTTGGAAAGTTCTTGCGCTTTAGGATGTTAATTTTTATGATAGTGTTGTGTGTATTTTATAGAATCTCACTTTGCGAATATTTATTCCATTGCGAGCAGAATCATGCATTTGGTCGACCATATTACTTTACCTTCGCGATTCTTATTGATAAAACTCTATTTTATCTGCTATCACACTCCCACGATTTTAGCTCCTCAATAGCGGTTGAGCTGAGCTGAAATTTCTTCGTTGTTGTGCAACCGAGTTTCATCAAGATAACGATTATTTTTAAAACACGACTAAAATTATTATTGTGTTCATGTTGACGACATTTGTAATCTCTTGGTTTTTGTTGTCATTACCCAAGAAATTACACATGGATAAAACCTAGAGTCGTGAAGTACGAGAAACGGGAAAAAAATCTGATTCTTAGTATTTGTGTTTTTTAATGAACATTTTATGGAAACTGAGAGGCCCTGGCGAATTTAATTCCCGCGCAGCTGGCAAAGTCTAACAAAGGAAAAATTTACTACAAAACAAAGATATTTCGATCAATCTGATAACTTTTATTCTTACCTTTTAAGCATTGAAGATTTGTTCAAAACCTAACTTGATACGGTTTATATATCAGTGTGATTTTCTTCAATGTACCTTCATAAAGATAGTAATATTCGAGCATTATGTGTGTTAATCATGTAGCTCTTTGAAACGTGCGAACTTTAATATTAGCGCGAACATCTCCTGAGGTGAGAATTATATATTGCCTTGTATCGTTGTACATACCTGAGTAAGCCGCTGTATTTATCTTATGACGTCAGAGAGCGAGCTGGATGACCCAGCATGCATTTCGAGTTAAATATAAGTTATGCACACTTGTTTCTTAAGAAAGCTGTCTTTTTCAAAATACTCTTCGGCAGGGCTACTGTCAAGGATAAATTTCTTTTGTGAGGAAGACCCTTCAAAAATGGCTTTTATGTATTATACTTAATTACATTTTCTTTTTGTACAAATAGATAATATAGTTGTGAAAATATAATATTTATCTGGGGACATCTTTCAAACGCATGATTTTGTTTGTTGAAAGAAGACTAATTTCTCTCAAGTTGCAAAATGATTTATTAACAATCGTAAACGTCATTTTGCAATATTGTAGAAAAAAATTTTTCAAATATACACAGTGGAAGACGGATGGATAAAGTGATATCATCTCGTTTGACACTTGATTGATCTAAGTACTCGTTTTACTGTTTTGCTTCCTTCCTCCTGTTTTAATAATTTATTATCCTAACTCAGCAAATATTTTAGTAAATATTGATATTTAGGTGGAAATTATCTTGAACCATTTTGCTTTCTGCGTCTGGTGATTTGCTTTTTGTTTTGAAAAGCCGCAAAACAAAGCGTTTTTTGATCTTCGATTATAAAGTCTCAACATTTTTCAATGTTTGATCAATGTATATCACCGCAAGAAGGGCCCTTCCCGTTAAAACCCGAAACTCAAACCGCAAGTCATGATCATGACTTTGTGGTTTGCCGTGAACGCCAAAGTAAAACTATCAAATATGATAATATTTTACCGCTACACAATCTGCTTAACATGAAAAGATTTTCATCAAATCGGGATAAGGCAGTCAGTGCCTTTAAAAAAATTTTCCTCCCTTCTCGTTTGAAAACCCTTATCCAACTAAAAAGTAATGCTGTTGTGAGCGTGGTCTTATTGCGGAGCGGTAAATAGTTGGCTGAACTTTGGCATTTGAGAAAATGGTTTCAATTTACGCTCTCCTGTGCTGGTCGGGCAACTTGTCAACCACCTATGTAAAAGTTCTGTTCCTTCAGGGTAAAATGGAGAACACTAGGGGAACCTCTTATATTACAAACCCTTTACAACTTACATTACATGAGGAACAACTGAATATTTCTGTCTTGATGCTATCATTAAACAGAAAAGCTTTTCATCATTTTAAAATCGCGGTGCGCTTTATCTGTAAAGACCTCCTCGGAACTCTTTCATTCATAAAGATCCCTGTCTGAACCTCTCTTCTTTTCATAAAGACCCTCTCAGAAACCCTCCCTTTATTCAAAAGACCCTCTCGGAATCGGAATCCCCTCTCTTTTTATAAAGACCCCTCTCAGAAACCCTTCTTTTCTGCCATTGACCTTGATCTATGTTCGATACACAGTTTATTCCCGAAGTTCAGTAAAATTTGTGAATGAAAAAGTTAGCAAATAATGCTGACAACAGGTCCACTAAGAATGAAAATTTACAACAGTGGCTATACCTGCCTTTTTGACCAACCTATGTATACATATATCTATATGTTTAAAGATTGGCAATACAGGCATTTATTGTTCAAAAATAAAAGTTTCTCCGGATTTTAGACGCTCCAAGCGTCTACAAGCTAAAAGCAAGGGTAAATAAATAACTTCCTCATTCTGATGAAGGCTCGAAGCAACGAGTCGAAAGCTCAATAAAAATCATTTAAAATCCGGAGAAACTTTTATTTTTGAACATATATATATACATCTTACTTACTTACATTCTATAAATTATTATATAAAACTGTAAATGTTTGAACAACTTTTCAGTGAATAACATAATGATTCCATTTTGTTGTTTGTATATTTATAATTTGACATTTATTCCACTATTATTTCGTTAATTTAATGTGAGTTTTGCTTTCAGAGTTTGGCTATTACCCATCTAGCTGGACAGCGTCATTAAATTTGACTTCAAAATAAAAAGTTCATTATATGCTTTACTATTTCCTAATTACAGCATTGATCGTGAAAAATAGCTTCCTCTGAAGCATTAAAAGCGTTTTCGACATTTTTATCGAATATCGAGCTCTTGATGTTTACGAATTTTTAGTTCTTGAAATTGACGCAGTCCCGAGAGCCTTTATCGTGAATTTATTATTTATAGTTTATTTGTTCGACATTTTTAATAACTCAGTTTTTCTGTCGCGTAAAAATTATTATCAGATGCATATATGTAATCAGGTATCTTACGTACCGCAAAGCGTTTGTTTTTTTTTGAAAAAGCTTTATCGCTGCTCCCCAATCGTCTGAAAGTTGAGTTTCTATGATATTTATCGTTCAGTGTTGAATTTTATCAAGTGGACATTTTAGTACGGTTATAAACTTATTTATCAAATAATGAACGAACATTTTCAAAATTGAAAATCACATACCCTCGGGGATTTTTTTTGCAATATTCATTCACCTTGTAGCCATGAGCGAAAATATTGTTGAAAAGCGAAAATATTGTTGAAAAGCGAAAATATTTCCCTTATTTTCTCATTAAAATACAGCGTTTTAAATCAGTGGTTAAAATATACCCCTAGGAATAACGTTTCAATGTTTTTTAAAATTGTTCCTACCGTTTTTCGAGCCTGATATTTTTCCTGACCAGTTTATCTTTATTATATGTGCTGTGGGATGTCACACTAAAGTGAAGGACGGCTTTGACTTACATATAAGAATCATGTAAAAATATGTATTTTTTTATAATTTGAGAAGAAAATAAATTTTAAGAAATAAAAGATGTTTACTGTGTTTGCACAGGCTTATGCAAACCGAGGAGACCTTTGGGAGAACTCGAGAGCAGATCAGTGCAAGCCCGAGACCGAAGGACAAGGGTTGCACATGTTTAGAGTTCTCACAAACGTCTCCTCTCCAAACGTACCTTCCGAAAAATTGATTTTTCAAAAGATAAAATATCCCATCTGTTGTCATAAAAGATGATATTAATTAAAATTTAATATTAATGTTGATGAATCGTGTCAACAAACTGTTTTTTCCTCATTTAGAATGCATATACGTCGGCTTATTTCGTTTACATTTTTCAGGAAAACAAAACTGCAAAATTATCCGTTACTCTTTTATGTTTTGTCATTGAGAACGCTTGCCGTTTGTAGCTTTCGTTATTTCGTCCATTTCACCTGAATAAATCATAATTAATTGACGGGTATTGTTATGATGAGAATAAATTCTATTACAAAATTTATAGTCGAAATTTTATCGAAGATATTAGTCGAATAATGTTTTATTTGTTCCTTTTTCTCTTCGTGAACACACACAGCTCGAATGGCGAAGACATTGCGGCAAAGAATACAATAATTTGGTGGCCGAAGAAACCTTTGATTTACAGCGAGAACACAACATCAATGAATGGAGAGTTAAAAGGTATCTTGCCGGAGATTTGGAATACTGTCGTCGATAATTGTAAAGAATTTAGAATTTCAAAACACAGTAGAAGTGTTGAAAGGTCTGATCCCTTACCGAAACCTGAGTACTCGGAATTTTTGGGAAGATACAAAAAAAGCGTACTCGTTCCTGTTAAACTACGTCGAGGAAAGAGTTCGTCTGTCGACATGCCTTTTGTGAGATTGATTGACTCCCCCGGTGTCGTCGTTTTGATGAAGAAAACTCTCACTGGAACTGAACTTTTAAACGCTATTCTCCTAGCTTGGCCTATTCTTATATTCGTTATTTTATCGGCAATTCTAAGCGGTTTCGTAATTTGGTTTTTGGTGAGTGAATTATACATGCACGAAAAAAATGTTGCCTGCATGATACTTGGCGTTCTTTATTTCTTGGAATTGTAAATAATTGGGATGAATTTGAAGGCTCTCCAAGGTGAACCAGCGTTGACTGGGGACTGAATCGAATCTTTTTTCTAGTGATGAGCCGATAATCGGCCATTTTTATGTAGATAGGTTATCGGCCGATTTTATTGACGTAAATCGGCTTACGATAGACATAGTTTGGGCTGTGAAAACTGGTTTTAAAAACTTTTGAGTGTTTGTTTTCAATAATCAAGAGCAGAATGATATTTTCAGAGAGATTATCGTCCTCGAAAGTATAAAATTTACGATCTAATCAACGTAATTTTACACAATTTGGCCAATAAAGTTTAACCGAAGTATCAAACTTACGTGATAATACGCCATGTTCTAATTGCTCTAGTGCATTTTATACTACTCGAAAATAATCTAAACTGTGTCTGCAAATCTGTTAAATTATATTCTATGCATAATACGACATGAATTTATGAATTTAATAGCTAAGCTCATTTTTATTTCTAGAAACTTATAGAATTTTTTTTAGGGGGGGGAGCTATTTACGAGACATATAAACAATTAAATATATCCTTGACTATTGTATTGACATTTTTTGCAACCCTAATTTTTTGCTTTGGACGTTAAAGATTTAAAAAATTTCTTGTTTTTCAATTATTGATTGCTACCGATAAATCAGCCGATATGCCTATATGTGATTTTTCTTCGATCGGCTCATCACTACTTTTTTTCCAAAAAATATTCAAATAGTTTTCAATTACTTCTTATAAGCCCGTTCCCAATCATTGAGCCATGGCTTTGTGTGATATTCTAAGGACTTTGTCTGATCTCCAACCCAAGACTATCTCATCTCTAACCCTCGACTGTACTAGACTTTATCCCAAAACTGTTAGGTTTTGTGATGTAGCCATCTACCTTCTTTAGTATATATTGACTTACACCAACAAATAGAGATATCACAGACAACTGTACGATCACACTTAATGTTCAACGTCAATGTCTATGGTCTACGATCTATCTTACAATCGTTAAATAACTTCTATTTATACAAGATATTATTATGGATATATTTGTTTCTTTACTAAATATGGTTAATTTACGATCAACGGAAAGCTATTAGGAAGTATAAAAATATTGTGATTATTGCACATAAGTATCTCTTTAAATAATCATTTAGTTAGTTACACTTGACTTAATTATTTACTAATTACAGGAAGAATATGAGAGCATATCTTAACAAAACTATGTCAGATCACCAATTCATGCGTCAGTACTTTACTGTATCTCTAACTCAGAACAATGCTAACGGTTAAATTCAATTAACAGCTTATTCACCTATTTGCATACATTTTTGATGATTGTTGATCATGAATATATTAATCATAAATACTAATTATGAGAATGTACGAATACATTAAATTTGTTATGTTTTTCCCCAAAAATTTTCTATATAGTATGAAATGATGATATTCATATATAGTATTGTGTATTGTTGAAGAATATGGAGTACTGTGTTTGTTTTCGATTTAGGAACATCGTTCTAATCCCCAAATGTTCGATCCGTTTTGTCCAAATGGTGTTCTAAATGGTTTCTGGTGGGCGGTCGTTACTATGACTACAGTAGGGTGAGTTTGCATAGTAAAAGTACCATAGTATTTTGGAGGTATATATATAGTAAAGCAAATGGTTTGAACTGAGTATCGTTACATGTAGATCTGTTGACTCTGAAGATGACTACCGCTAAGGTTGTCGAAACGTCAGTCAACAACAACAAAAACAGTCCTTCTCAGGACTATACCAACCTGGACGATCTACATTTACAAACATATATATATATATATATACAGTATTATAGTATATTATACCTAAGTATACCAAACCAAATATGACATATTTTAAAGCGACTGCGATTTTTTCTCTACCCACACTCTTTCGAGTAGATATGCCTACATAACCATTTGTGATATAAATCAAGCAATTTTCGTTGACTGACTGATTTCAAGGTTATATGAAAATTTGTACCAGACACATGCATTGTGCTTGATACTTTCAGTCGGAAACCATTCAGTTGTAAAACTGGGCTACGAGATTAGAGCATTTCTCTATTTCGTAAAAACGTTCTATAATCAGTATACTGGTATATTTTAAACACTGAGTAGTACTTCGGAAACCATTCAGTTTTGAAACTTGACTACGAAATTAAAGCATTTTTCTATTTTCTGAAAATGTCTAATTATCAGTATACTGGTATATCTAAAACACTGAGTAGTATGTCTACTGGTAGAATGTCACATGATCAACTTATGTAACCAAAGACCCTTTTAGGACGTCTGTTCACAATTTTTGGATCACTTGGCCTGGTTATTCTTGCGATGTACATGGGTGTTGTTACAACCTCTGACCACGTCAAGACTTGAAGGAACTCAACATTTTACGGCATCACTACCTTGGAAATATATGTTTTGTTTTAGTTGAAATATGTGTTTTGTTTTAGTTGGAAATATGTGTTTTGTTTTAGTTGGAATATGTGTTTTGTTTTAGTTGGAAATATGTGTTTTGTTTTAGTTGGAAATATGTTTTGTTTTAGTTGGAAATATGTGTTTTGTTTTAGTTGGAAATATGTGTTTGTTTTAGTTGGAAATATGTGTTTTGTTTAAATGTTGTTTGTTTTAGTTGGAAATATGTGTTTTGTTTTAATTGGAAATATGTGTTTTGTTTTAGTGGAAATATGTGTTTTGTTTTAGTTGGAAATATATTTGTTTAGTTTATGTTGTTTAGTTGGAAATATGTGTTTTTTAGTTGGAAATATGTGTTTTTGTTTTAGTTGGAAATATGTGTTTTGTTTTAGTTGGAAATATGTGTTTGTTTTAGTTGGAATATGTGTTTGTTTTAGTTGGAAATATGTGTTTTGTTTTAGTTGGAAATATGTGTTTATCTTTGTTGTTTGTTTAGTTGGAAATATGTGTTTTGTTTTAGTTGGAAATATGTGTTTTGTTTTAGTTGGAAATTTTGTTGTGTTTTGTTTTAGTTGGAAATATGTGTTTTGTTTTAGTTGGAAATATGTGTTTTGTTTTAGTTGGAAATATGTGTTTTGTTTTAGTTGGAAATATGTGTTTTGTTTTAGTTGGAAATATGTGTTTTGTTTTAATTGGAAATATGTGTGTTTTAATTGAAATATGTGTTTGTTTTAGTTAAATATATGTTTTGTTTTAGTTGGAAATATGTGTTTTGTTTTAGTTGGAAATATGTATTTTGTTTTAGTTGGAAATATGTGTTTTGTTTTAATTGGAAATATGTGTTTTGTTTTAATCAAACATCCCTGGGTCAGTTATAAAGTAGGCTTATGATCACCGCTAGAAATGTGTGTTTTGTTGTAACCAATCATTCTTGGTTTTCAATTTGGGTGTTCGGAATAAAATTTTTAAAACAAATATTATTGGCCAAAATTTTTTAGCCAAGATTTTGTTGCTTTTTTGGTTCAAATATATTTTTCCTGAGCGAACCAGAGCTCACAAATAAACCATTTTAAGTCGTGCGTATCGCGAATTTTATGTCCCTCACAGGTTTTCTTATTGTAATCCTCGATATTTATTGTCTTTGTGATCAGGTATCTGTTGTTAATCAAACTGAGGAAGAGAAATTTGCCATCCTTCATAACACCAATGTAAAAGGTAAGTGTGATTTTCTAAGTGCAAAATTTGCAATGAAAAACTAAATCACAATTGTGTTTCAGTCGAAGCAAACGAACTTGCAGTGATTGATGCTGTTTACAACAGTAAAAATAATGTCCGTCTTGGTTTTATCGATTTTTACGTTGCCTCTTACTATTCGCAACTCATTACTCAAAAGAATCTTCGAATTGTTCGCATAATTCCACGTAGCTACGTGTATGGAGCATTATTAGGAAAGGACTGGGTACCAGAAGCTGTCGAGTGTCTCCGGCGTCATTCCGAAGACAATCGTAAACATATACACGACGTTATTCCGAAGTACATACGATTAGCGGAGGTTGGTTCGTCTTTGTTTATGGATACAGTAATTTATACATTTAAGTAGTTTTATAAAAATAAACACAATAAAACGCGTGCCATGATTGGTCAATAGCCGTGTTTGCGTTAGCCTGAGCTCAACCAATCAAATCAATCAATCAGTCAAAGAGAATTTCAAATCAATCATAAATACATAAAAATTGAAACGTTTCTTTGAAATTGTGTGTTTTACATTATTGTTGTTTTATAAAAGAAATAGAAATGTTTATTCAAACCTCGGAGACGTTTGTGAGAACTTGAGCATGTGCAACACTCTACCTTCGGTTTCGGACTTGCACTGATCTGCTCTCGAGTTCTCCAAAAGGTCTCCTCGGTTTGCATAAGCCTGTACGAACACAGTAAACATCATTTATTTCTTAAATGATCAATTGAAGTAATTATTTTGTGGCAAAAGTCACTTCCGGTCATTACTAAAAAGTAAACAAAATTTTCAAAGAAACAGGAAACTTTAGCAAAACGCCAAAGGCGAAATAGAAGTTTTCACACAAAACAAGTTAGGATTTCATATTCAGATTGACCTCGTGTAATTTTTATTTACTGAGAGTGGGCAATTTTCTTTTGCTACCTTCTAGTGGAGGGTTATTGGAGAGGGCTAAATGAGGAAATACGTTAGTCCAGGGTCTCCAAACTACGATTGGCCAGATGTTGTTAGGCCCCTCCGGCCCCAGATGCACTTAAAATTATTAAACTTTCAGAGTTCACCAGCCAACTAGCAAGAGTGGCACGTTTTCTACCAACTTCCTGTTTCAAGCACATTGCGAAATTTAAAAAGCTGAAGGATAACGTGGAAATTTTTTATATTCTTCGGCCCTCAACATGCTGGATGAAAGTTCATGTTGCCTTCTGGCTGTAAAGTTTGGAGACCCCTGCGTTAGTCAATAACAGATTTTCTTACAATTGTTACCGTATTTTCCAGAATAAAAATGATTTAATGGAATATTTCTCTGGGAGCGTCTTTGGTTACAGCATTTATGGACTTTCTGCTTTGTTATGTTCGCTTCTCCTCTTAGGATTTAGTTTTCAGTCAGGTTATCTTTCACGACGTCGAAAGGAGCCACCAAAATAAGTATTTAGCGTTAAAATTTATTGATACATTGATAAGTTTCTTTCACCAATAAAATGAGAAAAGAAAATTTGTTTTTGCCACCTTTGATTTAGTTCTTTTATACGTCACATTTATGCATCGAATGCATTACAGACAATAGAAATGCGATAAAATTCCCATTTTTGTTTTGAATGCATTTAGTTATGTAAAATGCGACGTATAAAACAATTTAAATTCCATGTAAATAAACGAAATAAAATTTTGTTATATGTAAATTCCGCAGTGATAAATTTATGAAAACCAGTTTCTCTGACGCTAGACTTTTATTTCAATAAATTCATTTAAATGTATTGTCTAAAGAGTATTATCACGTTATTGTATTGAGGTATCGTTTTCTAAAGCCAGGTTAAGTTCTTCTGTCCGTTTCGGTGGAGCTTGTATCGTTTTCTAAAGCCAGGTTAACTTCTTCTGTCCGTTTCTTAGTGGAGCTTGTATCGTTTTCTAAAGCCAGGTTAAGTTCTCCTGTCCGTTTCTTATCGATAAGCTCGAGTTCCCGTATCCCTACAATAAATGAATTATAATAATTTACACTGTGTTAAACAGGAGAGGCGATCTTTAGCAAATACCGGGGTATTAGGTATTCGTTATGTTATGTTGTCGTCTGAAACATTTTAGCCACATATTAAGTATGGTTACTATATTTAAAGAATTTCGTCGTTTGTGCTTCAGTTGGGATTGGGGTTTTCATGCTTATAATTTATACAGTTGCATAGAAAAAGTTTTAAAATTTAGCATCAAACAGTTTTCAAGCACTTTCATCGATTCTGGTTTTTTAAGGAATTTTTAAGTGATTTTAAAATTCATTTTTAAATTCAAGAACTTCTCAAGGGCTTTAAGCACTCACATGCACCCTATTTACTACAGATGGACATCGAGTTGAACATAGCTTTTAAAACATGACATTTCAACAAAACCACATCGAAAAATGAATGAAAATATATTTTCCCAACCTTAGATATTTCTGCAGCTATCAAACTTCGGTACTTTTTTCCTTGCCCTAGTTTTTCCATATCATCAAGAAACTGCTTTCGTTCTTCAATCAATTCAACAACTACGAACACCGAAAAAAATGCTCAGAATTATTTTTTACAAATTATAGTTAAAATGTTTGTTTCAGTGTCCTACCTTCGTCAAATCGATCTATCTCCGGCTCCAGTCTTCCTCCTCTGGGAAAATTTTGAGGTTGTGGTGTTTGTTCTATCAATGCCGCTCCTTCGTCACCGTACGACATCTTATTTTGTAAAATTCTCTTGTCTTTTCCCGTGATACATTTTGAGGAAAAGAAAAGTTTATAAAATAGTATAAATGAAACAAGTTCAAACGACAAATAATTATTAGACTTGTTCCCAGGCTCTCAAGTAAACATTGCGCCAAAGCATCGTTCGTGATTTTAGATAGACGCACTTAAATCACGTAAAGGATGGAGGGCCTGAGAAAAAATGGTCGATTACTAAAACTTTATAAAAATGTACTCATGACAAATTTATTAGTCAATTAGTTATTCTTTTCGGTCATGTGTACTGAAGAATATTGGTGTATGGTCAATATGTCTATTTTGAAAAATATTATGTTAATAAACAGTCAACACAAAAAGACATGCAACGAAACTGTTCATGGTAAAATGTCTTAAAACGTTTTACATAGTTCAAATCTATCTTAAAATAAATCTATCTTAATTCGAATCTATCTTAATCAATCCGTAGGTCACGTGGGTGACCTTTTGGGATTCAGATTCCATGAACAATAATGAAACACGCAAAATTGTTTTTCCAAAATATTTTTCAAAAACTCCCAACTTCGAATCACGTGTACGTCGTTTACGCTTTGGTCCTGTTGTATAATTTCATTGGAATATCATTTAAGATTCATTTCTTCAGAAATTTCCCGTTTCCACAATGGATGAACTGAGAAAAGATTCCTGAGTAGAACTAAACAAGCAAATTACATTCTTGTGATGAATACATACTTCCAGGTAGTGGTCTATATGGTTCGTCATCATCGAACTCTTTCTTCTTAATATTTCTGCCTGTGTTCTTTTCCTCCGTTTAACGATTTATGATTGACATTTTTTGTTGTGCCTGCAGTTTTCGATGCGTTGGCTTGCTCTTTTCGAGCACTAGTCGTTGGGTTGACATTCGTAGGAAAAGATTCGCCTTCTATGAAATTAAAATTTCAATGAATATTTCTTTCTTCCCCAGTAAAATTATTGTGCTGACGGCTGTAATGGTGCACGAAAAACAGCCAATCACGTTCAAGCATATTTTCTGCCGAATAAGACATCAATTAGCCTTCAGTCAGCAGTGGTCAGCAGTAGTTGCGAGGAATTACTTTAAGTATGAATATAATCAATTTAATATAACATAAATGAGTGAGAAAGTTAAGAAATGAAACTAATAAAAGTTTATTTTTGCTTTGTTCATTTTAGTTTCATCCATTTCTCAACCATAGCTTTGACGCACCAGTGGGGCTTCCTCCCCAAGGACTGCCGTTGTAAAAATAAAAGAAGTTAGGAGGAAGGCAGTAGCTAGATTAATACCTATATTACATCCAAACTATGCAAATACCTCCCCTCCCCCCAAAAAAGTTGAAGTCGTTTCTCGGATACTTTTCAACAAAAACTGACTAAAATTATTAAAGTGGAAACACTGTAAAACTTCATTACACTATAAACTCGGATTGTAAACACTGATGAATAAAAATCTATGTTATTGTACAATTTCCACGGTATGTTTGGGGTTTTCGGTGTATTTTCAATGAAAAACTTTCACGTTTACCCAAAGACTACCTCTTTTACCTCGTAAACGTTCGTTTAATTGTCTTGAAAATTTGTCAACTTCGATTCTTGCATCATAACTTAAAAGTTAATTTTACAGGAATTAGAGCAGAAAAACAACGGCAAAATATTTTGTGGGAAAATGCAAACTACCTTTTAGTAAATCTTGTGTTTCCTTGCTGACTGGATGTCTAGAAGGAGCCATTAACCCCCCTTCGCAACTGGTTGTCTAGGACGCAAAGCCATCTTTGTTTTCTTCGTACCGTTTATAAAATTATACTTGTATTGTCTCCTCTCGTCTCCAGGATCACGCACATTTTTGTCAACTTCTAGCCAATCAGGTGGCTGGATTATGGCACGTGTATACAACTTTTAACGGTTTTCGTTCGACTTCCACGATCGATCAAATGAAATCTTGGATAAATAAAGTACGACTAGTCGTGAACAGAAATTGTCCTTTGAAAGCTTTCTTGATTTCATGCAGATCATATTATTAGTTTTATAAATAGGCTTTTCTAGTCGTTTGATATTCTACTTTAATGAATAGCAGAATGGTTTTCGTAAAACGCTACGGTAAGTGCAACTTGATGCCTAAAAAATACCTATATTGTTTCGAACGTTATTTTTTCCTGCTTATACTGTTCTTATATCTTTAACCTGAAGCTGGCGTACGTCGATGCTATCGGAAAGCATTTGTGCACTTACCTGACGATACATTACTGCTTGTGTTGCAGTATTTATCTGTCCAAGAACTGTACCAAATGTGTCGAGTGAGTACCTTGTTCTATCTCATTTATCCTTGTATTTTCAGAGGTTTATGTAGGATCTCCCTGGATAGGGTGAAACCAGCACCATTAAATGGTGATCACTGATCTGACTTTTGTCCAGCTAAGTTCAATGATAGTAGTAAGATAATATCTCTCAATTGACCTTTCGCCTATAAATTTTGGAGGGATGGGGGGTCGTTCTTTGGTCAAATTTTCTGTTCTGCTTTATAATGTTCAATGATTTTGGAACTATGGGCTCTAAATTTTACGAAAATAACTGTTCAATTGATGTTCAGGTGTTGTAAGTGATGTATATTTGTGTACCATTTTATCCCTAGGTGTGACGCTTTAACCAACTTATCATGAATACACAAAGCTTATTCATTCACACTTCATTTGCTGGAATTTGGCCGTCACCAAAGAATTTTTCAGTTTTTTTGAAGTAAGTTTTATTATCAAGAATGAACATGAGAACTTCGTTTTGCCTTACAAAAGTATTTAGGTTTTTTAATGTGTATTGATTATTTTTACCTACCCTGTCAAAATCAGCTTTGCCTCACAGGATTAGCATGAGTAAATAACATCATTCTAAGTGTGAACAGGACTCAAAATAGCAGTCTAGCTAAGCTGGCTGGACAACTTGTATTTACCTCTGTCATCACACAAAACTTGCACTAAATAACGTAAGATTGCAGTTTTTTGTTTTTTTACTCCTAACTAATTACCATGCATGTCTTTCCTTGCTAAAAAGATGGTCAGTCAACAAGTGTTTTTTGGTTATTTTGAGCTGTTCAAGTAGTCTTTCATCATGATAAATAGCAATGTTATGTATTAACTTACATGTTATTTACCTAAGTCTTGTTCCTCAAGAATACCACAGTCTGTTGGCTGAAAATATGTGCTCAAAAACAATTTTCTTACTTAGTGAACAATTGCTTTACATTACATCTTTAACCAATCACATTTTATACATATTTTATTTTTCTGTCTAATGAATTGATTTCAAACAGTTTTTCTTTGCACACATTTTAAACAGAGGGTCATCTGTAGGAAACATTGAAGCAGTTATCAAATTGGGCTTAAGTTATCTTTACAATGAAGGAGGTATGTAATTTCTGATTTGATAAAGTTGGCTAACATTTAGTAAAAAAGTGTTATTTAAATTGAAGGCAATTATATTATAAATGGTTTTTGCTCAAAAATTGCTAGGAGAACTTTGATTCAAAGTTAGAGGGGTTTTGTTGAAGAAACCTTTCAGTTTTTTCTTTATATGTTGTTACAGAGATGCATATTGCTAAGATAATGAAATATTTCAAGATGTGCTAATTAATCAAATATAATCAGAAAAATAATTTACAGTCAACCCTTTAAGACATGAGTTTTATAAATGGACTTTACACAGCTTCCTGATCCTGATTGTGACACATTGTAGTCACAGTGTGAGTCACTAGAGGATTGATCTGTCATTGCTGGCTAATTTGACGAATGTTAATTTAGTTGTATCACTTGTTATGTAGAGGAAGACTATTATTTTAACATTTATATATGGGAGAAAATTGTGCAATATAACAGGGACTGCAGAACAGATTTTTCATTGAGGGGCAATCAACTGCCAAAGCTGCAGAACTTGGATGTTCGTAGGGCGATCTTGGGTCAAATTTGTAAAATACAAAAGAAATGTAGATTTATTTCCTACCAGCCTTGCCACAGTATAGAGAACATACAGTAGAGCCACTCCATTGAATTTTTTTTGCCACGCATATCTTAATACACATGTGATTACCATATTGGCAGCCAGTCGATTGCTTTTTTTGACCAATAGGAATGATGAAATGGCTAACGGCAGTCAGTAAACTAATTAAATATACAGCAACCAGTTGCACAGCCAAGTGGCACTTCTGTATGTTTCCTATACTGTGGCCTGGCCCCCAGCTCGACTGTCCTTGTAAGAATTAATAGTCAATAAGACTGTAAGAGTAGTTGACCTAAACTTCAATATATCAACTACTATGGACAACATTGTACTATCTTAGTATTGCACCTCTGGAAAAATCTACACCCTCCTGTTAGATTAGCTAAACCCATCGCTCCCAGAGTGCGTCCTTAGTGAAGAAAGAAATATTTATTTTGACTAAAAGAGAATATTTTCGTCGAGACACAACGTTTTCGTTGTGTTCACAGCGGTAGTCGGTTTTAGTCTGGGTCGCGGAAGATAAACCCGCTTTCGACAAACGTTTCTCCAAGTCACTATAATATCATCGTTTTACACAATTGCAAACATCGAGACTTGTTTTAAGAAGATCTTAAATTTCATGAACAAGCTTTAATTTCAAACAAAATCAACGTATCTTAAAAGGACAAAGACAACGATTGTCATAATTGTTGTCTTTTCTTGAATAAGGACGTTTTGGATTGGTACCCTTAGCAAAATGTCTCTCTCTGGCCGCCCTGTATCTGTCTGGCTATTTTCTTAAGTTGACGTATTTCTCAAATCAGTCTGCTTTTAATTTGTAATACATCCAGTTTCAGAAAATTCTTCAAAGAAAATCTCTTCATCAGCAAACGCCCACAACGCAAAAAATGCCACTCAGTATTTCTGTCAGGCAGAAAGCATAACACCTCCGACTGTCGCGTTTATTTGTCGTTTATTCGCCCCCCCTGGGCTCCTGGCATCATGTGTTGTAAAAGACATGTCTTCAATGGTATCAGGAAATTCTGCGAAGAAAAT